GCATTGGTGTTGGAAGTCTATTAATCAAGTAAACAGCCATATAGAAAGCATCCACCCAGTATGTGAGAGGCATTTGAGGATGGGCAAGCAAGGTTAGTCCAGTTTCAACTATGTGTCTGTGTTTTCTCTCTGCTCTACCATTTTGTTGAGAAGTGTAAGGACAAGTAAATCTGATATTAATACCAGCAGTTTGAGCAACAGGGATAAATGGTTTATACTCTGATCCATTGTCACATTGTAATGACTTTATTTTGGCATCAAACTGATTTTCAACAAGAGCTCGAAAATGATTAAAGGCTGTGATTGCTTCTCCTTTATGTTTGAGTGGATATAACCACGTGTAGCGACTAAAATCATCAACAAAATGAATATAAAAGCGGTAACCACTAACAGATTGGACCGGAGATGGTCCCCAGAGATCAGTATGAATTAACTCTAGAGGAGAAAAAGCTTGAGAATGAGACTTAGGAAAAGGTAACAGCTTCGATTTTCCAAATTGACACGCTTCACAAGTATAATTTTCATTCACATGGATATTCAATTTACACTTATTTAAAACTTGCTTCAAAACTTTAGAACCAGGATGTCCAAGAGTGTGGTGCCAACGAACAAAATCTGGAACTGAATGCGTGTCTGCGACATGTGCTTGTGGCCGAGGAGATTTAAGTCCTATTGGATACATTTCGTGCTTGGGTGTTCCCTGCAACAGAGGATGTCCTGTCTTCTTGTCCTTCACAACACAACCATTGTTAGTAAATTGAACATGAATAGGATTGTCTCCAACCAACCTATTTACACTCATCAAGTTCTTAGTGGCAGATGGAACAAGTAACACATTCTTAAGTAGAAGATTAGACTGAGAATGATTGCAAGGAATAGTAGTAGAACCGACGCCCAAGATAGGACTCCTTTGTCCAGTACAAGTGTATAGATGAGTCTTACCTATGGGAGCAACATAATCCAGCTGATCTGAATCCGGTGTGACATGATAGTTTGCTCCACTATCTATATACCAAGCTGGGTCAGCAACTGAGTGGGGATTAGCATAGTAAGCTTGTTGGTTATAATGATCTGGAGCCCGAGAACGACGAAAACCAGAGGAGTAGAAGTTAGGTTGAGGAGGCGGGTATGCATTTTGCTGATCCATCCGATCATAGCATGTTGCAGCAAAGTGTCCATACCTTTCACAGTATGTACAGAACGGGCGACCACTATGGCCTCTACCACCACGGCGTCCTCTGGAGCGACCACTACGGCCTCCACCACCACGGCGTCCTCTGGAGCGACCACCGCGAAAAATGCCACGGCCACGCCAGCCACCACGATTATTGCTGGAGTTAGAAGAGCGACGGCCTTCATCAGACATATCGGCCTTTTGTGCGATATTGGCACTGGGTTGAATGGTCAAAGATGACATTTGACTGAGCTGCTCAACGCGACTTTCAAAAGCTAACAAGGAGGCCTGCACTTCGACCCAGCTGAGATGAAGTTGATCAGATAGCTTGACTACAATGGCATTGTAATCAGCATCGAGTCCATTGAGAGTGTGCAGAATAAGATCTTCTGTCGACACCGGTGCTCCAGCTAGTGCTAGCTGATCTGAGATATTTTTCATCTTACTCAGATACTCTTCCATTTTCAGATTTTTCTTCCGTGTGCTATGGAGCTTAGTTTTGTGAATCATAATCCGTGCCTTGGTTGAAGCACAGGTAAGACTTTTGGCAGCATTCCACAACTCTTCGGCTGAACGACAGTGGAGCAGCTGTGCTGCAACATCTTGAGTCATCGTATTTCTTAACCATTCGACAAGCATACGATCTATAGAATACCAGTTTTCATATTATGGGTTTGATTTTGCCCCAGTAGTATCGCCGGCGACAGCAGGAATAAGACGAGAAGGAGCACGACCGAGACCATTGATGTGGGATTCCAGCTTGTTTCCCTCTATTAGAGGTAGGACGACCGACTCCCAGACAAGATAGTTGGTGCGATCCAGCTTGATCGCAGAGGTCTGAGAGGATGAATTAAATAGACTATAAGTCTTTGTGACCGTTGAATCAGAAGCATCAGACACATTGGGAGACGCCATTTCCTTGCTCTGATACCAAGAAAGAGTAAACAATACAAAGAAGATAAATGAACATTCTGAGACACTGTAGCGGCTGTGCTCAGATTCCTTTAATATATATAGGACGAACCGATAGGGTTTCTATGAGCTATACAATTATAACCATACATGTGTAGGGAGGAGATATAAAAGATACAGCTGTACAAGTATTTAACCATATAAACAATGAACAATATAATTATATTCTAACATCCATGTTTAGGGATTGAGAAGGATGATGAGGAGAAGAAGAAAGTGTTTGCAGTGGGAGAATTGGCGTTTCAATGTTTGCAGGTAAATAACGAGATGAGGCCCTCCATTGATGAGGTTTTAGAGATTTTGAAGGAGAAAGAAGAAGGTGAAATTTTAGAGGAAGATAAAGCTGATATAGATATAGGACCTGTGAAGACTTCAATAATCTATGGTCCGGCAAAGCTGTTCAATTCACCATCTTCATCAAATAGTGTCACTGTAAAATGGAGCAGGGAATGTACTACAAATTGCAGCGTTTAATAATCTTTAAGCCTATTTGTAATTCTTGGTCCATGTTCTGCGGCTATCATGAGTACTTGTCATGCTCATTTATATTCCCCTGCTTCTTTCTCGATCACGCATTATTACAAAAAATTAATATTTTTTTTCGATAGTGTACCTCAATTTATAAAGAAGCTTCTGGATTTCAAGTTTTTGTAATAAATTCTTTATATCATTTAATTATTTGAGCGTTAGCCTCTATTTCAAACAAAAGCCCAGAGGCAAAAAGGTAAGCTTTTCAATACGCTACAGTTGGAGATAGTTTAATTAGCTCCAAATCGTTGATTCTGTACAGGTACAAATCATGGAGACAGTTAAAAGAAGGAATTTTTGCAAAGCCAATGAGTGTATTTGTTATTTATTTGCATTTATCCATCTCAACCTTATACGACATAACAACAAAACATTCATGAGCAAATGAGATAACCAAATAAGTACAGATCATCAAAACAATCGAGTGGCAACAGAAGCCAATATTGATTGGCTTTTCATTTTTCGTTCTTTAATTCTTAAGGAGAATCTAATGCAGAACCAGATGTTATAACTACGACATTAGCTGTTCTGCAAAATGCAACATAGCATAAAAGTTATATATTCATAAATCATAACCATGCAAACGAAATGTTGTTGAACATAATTAAAAATTGCACTTTTATTATCAATAAGCTATTAGTTTAGATGGTAAGTGGTTTTACTCCCAAAAGGAGAATGCAGGTTTAATATTTTGAATTATAAAAAAAAAACATTGCACTTTCATTCTATAGACTATCCTCATGTGATGTCATTTTACTCGTATGGGCATGTCGATCAAAAGGTAACATAAATGTGCAAATCTAATCTGAAGAGGGATCGTGCATCTTTATTAGGCAAATTATCACACGAGCTTTTTCAAAAGTTTCTAATGTATTCCACGTGTACAACACGCTTTATCAAAGGTTTGAGTCAAGGTCTCTTCTCTATATCATTCACCTTTCTGCTTAATTATCAATTTATCTGCTATCTTTTTCACATTTACAATCCCTTTTTTTTTTTTTGCCCCCTCCCACTTTTGAGAACCAAACATTAGTATTGATAAGAGTGTGTTTGAAGCACATTATGTTGAGAGGACACGTGTCTCTCATTCGTCTTCTTGATCTTGGTCTTGGTCTAGTTCCTTTGGTTAGTCAACTGCCGTGTCATAGAGCATCGACTTGGGTTGTGTGTTCCACGGGGAAAGAATTGCCACCCTCAATTCCCCAGCCGGATAGAGCTTTCAAGCTAGTCATTGCTTGATGAAGCAATCAAGGTCTCGTACATTAGAAGTTTTTCTCTGAGAGTGGGTTTCAGAAGAATGGTTCTACCTCTTCACTTGTTGTTGTTCTTCTTCTTCTTGTTTGCTGAGCATTCCGCTTCAGGAGATGAGTGCCCAAGTTTCCTTGACTGTGGGAATCTGGGCGGGCTCTGGTTCCCTTTGACCACTCTAGAGCGCAGAGACTGTGGGACGTTGCCGATTCATGGCTGTGAAAACCCCAACGCTCAAAAAACTGTGAAATTGGGGGAAAAGATGTTTCCAGTGACGAGGATAGAACCCGGGTTGCTTCCTAAAGTTGTCGTTAGAGACGCATGTTTGGAGAAGCGTTTGGCAAGTAATAGTTGTGACGCCTTGCGTTCCAATATTACTCTTCCTCCCAACTCAGCTTTGGGTTCCTTTCGTATCTGGCCTTATATAACCATGTACAATTGCAGTACTCCACCCAATAAGAGTCTTCCAAAGCAATTCTTGAACTATACAGGATGTGCTAAAAGTAAGAATGAGGCCATCTTCTTCCGAACGCAGGATCAGGATGACCCTCCACCTCCCTTAGCAACATGTCCAAGGGTTCAGCTTCCCGTGAATATGCTGGCTTTCTCTCCTGATCCCTTTACATTCATAGCTTCTGAATTCCGTGTTACGTTTCAGCCTTCTCCTGGTTGTGGTCAATGTCTTTTTGACAAAGGCTCATGCCGTCTCAACAGCACCACGGGATTTTATTGTCTCAAAGGTATGCATTACTTAGTACAACAAATGAGAATTTCTTAGGTTCAGTTAATTTTACTCATTCATTTTTAGATGGCCATATGTACGCCTGTCAACTCTCCTTCTAGGATGCAATCTAATTAATTCTAATTAAACTGAGACAGAAAGACGGGCTTGGAAGCTGGGATTAAAGATAGGTAATTTTGCTTCATTTTCACTCATTTTCAGCTGTCTTTCCCGCATAATTATTTAGGATCCTGTATAATATAGATTTTATAATCTTCTAATTGTCCTCACATTATGAGATTCCTAAGAAACACCACAGATAATCCTTGAGTGAAAGACTCATAATTGTACTAATAGGTTTTGGAGTGGGATTAGGCATTCTGATATTAGCGTTGCTGCTCTGCTTTGGACTCTACAAACACAAACAGAATCCTATATCCCATGTAAGACTTCGATCAACGAATCAATACCCAAATGATGCGGACCCAGACAGTGGCAGACTCTTCTTTGGAGTCCCAATCTTCTCCTACACGGAGCTTCAAGGCGCAACCAACAACTTTGACCCCTCTAACAAACTTGGAGACGGCGGCTTCGGCTCTGTTTACTATGGTCCCCTTCTCAACTGCTTTAGTCTCGTACTCTTCATGCCAAAGTTTTTAACTTTAAAGCTATTTCCTTTCATTTATAGGAAAGCTCCAAGATGGGCGTGAAGTTGCAGTAAAACACCTATTCAACCACAACTACAAGAGAGTAGAACAGTTCATGACAGAAGTTGAGATCCTCACTCGCCTGCGTCACCAAAATCTTGTCTGCCTCTATGGCTGCACTTCACGTCAGAGCCGTGAACTCCTTCTTGTCTATGAATACATCCCAAATGGCACCCTTGCCAGTCACCTACGTGGCAACTATGCAAATCCTGCACTGTTGACGTGGCCTATTCGAATCAAAATCGCCATAGCAACTGCCAGTGCTTTGGCTTACCTTCATGCCTCCAGCATCATCCATCGTGATATCAAAACCAATAACATTCTCCTTGACAAGAACTTCTGTGTTAAGGTTGCGGATTTTGGACTTTCTAGGTTGTTCCCAGATGATGTCTCGCATGTTTCTACGGCTCCACAGGGAACACCAGGCTATCTTGACCCAGAATATCACTACTGCTTTAGGCTGACAGATAAAAGTGACGTGTATAGTTTTGGGGTTGTGCTTATGGAGCTGATATCTTCAATGCCAGCAGTTGATATAAGAAGAGACAAAGATGAGATTACGTTGGCGGGTCTTGCAGTTAGGAAGATTCGGAGGAATGAATTCGAGGAGTTGGTGGATCCATGTATGGGGATTGAGAAGGATAGTGAGGTGAAGAAGAAGGTGTTTGCAGTGGGAGAACTGGCATTCCATTGTTTGCAGATAGATAAGGAGATGAGGCCTTCCATTGATGAGGTTTTAGAGGTTTTGAGGAAAATCGAAGGTGGGAAAGTAGAAGGAGAGAAGGATATAGGGAAAGACAAAGATGGTGGTGAAGTTTCAAAGAATAAAGCAGATATACAAGCACAAGCAATGACTTCAATAAGCTTTGATCAAGTAAGGTTGTTCAAGTCAGCATCTTCTTCAAACAACATGATCCAGAAATGGAGAAATGGAAAAGTTGATCTGGCAAAATTATGTAGCGTTTGACTTCTAAGAAGTTTTGGGCATGTGATTGTTCTTTTTTTAATATGTAAAGGTCTAGGTGAGTAAGTAGTTGGATTCAAAGACTCATCAAAATTAGGACAACTCTATGGGTTATAAGTTGATTTTTCACTAACTGAATGAATTTTTGTTGGCAATTATTGAATACTCATATTATATATGAAGACGTTGCGCTGAGTTCACCCTCCTTTGTAATTATCATGCTTCTAGCTATATAGACTTTCCTCTCATCTCATCCCAATCACGTTACACACATATAAAATCTCTTTTAGTGCCTGTTTGCTTCAAGGAATATAATAGGCAATTTAGTGTAATAGAAAAATGATTATAGAGCATTTGTTTGATGTATCATTAAAAAATAATGAAATTTTAATTTTATCTAAAAAATAAAAATAAGTGCCAAATGATATTTGAAATTCTATTAATTGGGCTAAAAATGAAGAGTATGAATGTGTAAAGAAATTCATGGAAAATGTAGATGTGCATACCTTAATTCATGCAAGATTGAATACGGATTACATAGTTAATAATTTATGTAATGTTGATTATATTATCTAATTTATTACTATAATATATTATAATTAGTATATATTAGCTTTTAAATAAGAGGAGAATTTGTTAATTATGTTCAATAGGCCTCAAAATCAGGAAATTATTTTCAAGACCTTCCTTCTCGGCAAAAAAAAAAAAAAAAAAGAAATCTTGACCTAAATGCCCCTGGATTAATTGAAAGAAAAATCCCCTCCTTCACTCTGTTACCAGCGACTTTCCCAGCGGTGGAGCTTCCGTCATTGACGAGTGTTCGATCTGATGGCTAAGGAGTGGAATTCTGTACAAGTTCTTCTAAAATTTTTTAGAAGTCGCGGATAGGAAATTTCAAATTTTAATGGTGAAACTTTCAATTTCAGCAGTCAAGTCAATTTAAGGTGATTAATAACTTATATGTCACTTTTCTTGAGGAAAAACAATGTAGGAGTCAAATAAAAAGAAATTTAGTACTAAGGTAAGGCAAAGATTTTTTTTTTTCCCCACTGGAATAGTCAGTCTACTTTTGCAATAGCCTACAGCAAAGTTTATAATGAGAAGTCACATTGGATTAAGATATTATTATATGAAGGGTTTGATTATAAATGAAATAATCTCCATAATTTATATAAAATTTGAATTGAATCTTTCAAATTTTTTAATGAAAAGTTTCACAAGAGCATTGATGTTAAAAGCATCAAAGGGAGTGGAATTGAAGCTTTATAAATCTTGATCACTAAAGTAATTCAGGAATCAACTCAACTTACACCTTAATATTAAAATTGGTGAGGGAATTAAACCTAAAAAAAAGTACTATCCACGCCTTAAAAATATTATACACAACTTTCTTCTTCAATCTCTGCTCCTCGTTACATTTCAAAAAACCATTACCACAAACAATAACATTTGGCAAATGTAATATTAGGCTCAAAGTGAGCTCTCCAAAGCAATTCTTGAACTATAGCCCTGCTTATTATAAAGAACTCCGACAATAATTTGTCCATTTCACATCTACTTCTTTGAATTTTGTAAACGATATAGCTGAGACAGAAGATTAAAACAAAAGACGGGCTTGGAATGAAGCTATGATTGCTTATAGGTAATTTTACTTCCTTTTTACTCATTTTCAGCTATATCTCCTTTATCCCACATAATTACTTAGACCCTATATAACTCAAGTACTATTTATATTCTAAAGTAAAACAAGTTCTTCGTATAACATGAAAGAAACAAAACATGTTTTCTAGATTTTAAATTTGCATGAGTACAAGAACCATTCAACAAAAATAAGTTGTTGTCTATATTTCAGTATAACTGTAATTCTAAAGTAAAATGAGGAGTTGTTTATTTCTATCTTGTAACCATCCTGTGCTTTCCATCAGGAATATAAACATAATCATCCATGCTTTCACATTATCTAAACAAATGACAAAAACGCGTTTTGAATAATCTTCAGAACCCTGTCAACATCAGGAGCTTCATGTTTCTCTTTACTTGTCTTCTTTTTCTTCATCGGACTCCAATTATCCAATCAAGTTCTTGATGTCCTGGGCCACACGCGTAAACATGGTGTACAGCTGAGCTCCGGCAATGGCTTCATAAATGAGTCAAAGAAGTAAAATTTAATTACTCCTCCGGTCCTTAATATAGGACCAAATTCTTGAGTTGGTTTTGATCCTAAATATAAGACCCATTTCTCATATTTATCAATTTTCTCTAAATTATCCATATGAATACTCTCTCAACTATAATCAAGTAGAAGAGGAAGATGTGATATTAAGAAAGATTATGGTGTTTTAGGAAAAATGTGTCACTTTTCTAATAATTAACTTACTTACCTAACTTTCTTAATTAATCAAATTAGTTAAAGGTTTTATATTAAAGACCGGAAGAGTATAAACTTTTTGACCGTGACGACGACTATCACTACGGAAAAAAAAAGACTTCAGATGATGACTTTCGGCGACGACACCAAAAAGTCGCCGCTGAAACTAAGACTTTTAGCTGCGACATTTTGAAAGTGGACTTTTGCTAAAAGTTCGTTGTTGAAACTAAAACTTTCAGTGGTGACAAAAGTGTTGCCGTTGAAAGTCAGACCTCCAGCGGTGGCACTAATAGTTTCCGCTGAAAGTCAGACCTCCAGCGGCGACTATCAAGTGAACCCAATGATTCTCAAAGGTATACTTTCAGTGGCGATTTTTTTTGTCGCCGTTGAAAGTATACCTTTGAGAATCATTGGGTTCACTTTCAGCAGCGACTATCAGTGTCGCCGCTGAAAGTCTGACTTTTAGTGGCGACTTTATAATGTCACCACTGAAAGTGTAATATAATAATATATATTTTATTTTACAATATTAATAAACAAATTCAATCTGGTTTGGTGACAAGAAGATTGGACACGAAAGGAGGTGGTCATGAGTTTGAACCTTGAAGAAGACACATTTAAGGTGAAAATATTTGGACGATGACGTGGCCGGGAGGAGTGATATGACAATGACGTGGAGGTGGCTAGTGATGATGTGGCGGCCGGCGTATTGACGTGGCGCCCGGGCGGTGATGACGTGGTGTTGGTAAAGCCAATTCTTCTTAGGCATTACTTTTAGCGGCGACTTTTGTCGCCGTTGAACATCCCTTTTGGCAGTGACAATTTGTCGCGGCCGAAAGCGTTTTCAAGGGTGACAAATGTCACCGCCGAAAGTGTCTTCTAAAACTTCTAAAAGTCGCTCAATGGCGACCTTTTTAGTCGCCGCTGAAAATTAATTTTTTTGTAGTGTATACTAGGCTACTCTTAAAATCATTATTGGCAACTAATTAAAACTTGGAGTTTCTATTACTGTTCTTTTTGCCGTTGTGGGAACTTCAAGGTGGGGCAAAACCATGGACTATTATTCAAGTCATGCTAACATGACATTTGAGGAAGCTGAGTAGGAAGGGGTTAGCCCATATTTTCCGAGCAACTTTTCCAAGTCTTGTTCATAGTCACTGTCCAAGTCAACGAACGTAGTAAACGCACAGATTCATTCGACCATTACTGACATACATGTTCTGAGTACTACATTTAGTATCCTCCCAAACACGCTAGTCAGTGGCCCGACCCTTCAAAAGAATGTTCTCTTATCCAACTTCCATTGGGACATCAATCTCATGGCTCAACCAACACATCCTCATCCGATGGAATCTATATTCAAGTACATCTATCTCTCTCTTGTTTGGATTGTATTTCCAGCGGAGGGCAATGTCTACTTGATGGCAAATGCAGTGTCAATGGTACAGGCACCTTGATTAATTGTGATCATTCAGATAACTTGATTTCTCTTTAGCTTCTTCAAATCTTGTTTCTTTTTGATATTTTCCTTGATGATGACTGACAACAAGGAAAACGATTCCAATTCTAT